TTTCGTGGGCTTCCTTCCTAGCACCTTTTAATCTGCTAACTCAGGAATTGGACTAGAATCATTTGCGTGCAGCATGCATCTCCCATCACTGAAGTAGCCTTTGCCACATCTGAATGATTTATTCCTTGTTTTCCCTGATTTCCAAGCCATTATCCCACTCTTCATACCAGGGATAGGGTATTGGCAAAACCTATTGGTGTTTCGCAACTTTCTGACTAGTTGCAGGACCTTAGCCAGACCTAGCAGAGTACACACAGAATCCACGGAAGCAATTGGCAACTTGGCTGCAGACAGGATAGACGAAGCAGGAACCAGGAACTTATAGTTAGGTGTTTATTATATACAGTGGACCATTTACAGGAACAGAACACGGATCTTTAGCTAGCTCTCTCATACACGACTCACAACTCCTACACTGACTGACACACTGAAGTACTGAACTCCAAAACTCTCAACTACCAGTTAGTAGGCCATTAATTATCACTCCCTTGAGAGAGCTTGACCAATCAGGGAGCAGTCTCAATGCCTCTGCTATCTCCAGGCAGACTCCTTCAGATTGCCTTCTGGCTGGCTGCCAAACCTTAATTGACTCTATGTGAGTAGCTACACGTACAGTTTCCCAACATAGGGAACTTCCAGATCAGGGGTGCACAACCTGAGACCCTCCAGATGTTGGACTACACCTCTCATCATCCCTGATCACTGGCTAGGCTGGCTGGGGCTGATGGGAGTTGTAGTCCAGAAACATCTGGAATGCCACAGGTTGTGCACCCCGATCTAGATGAGTAACTGTTGAAATAAAAATATATGGCTTCTAGCAAGAAGGCAACTTAATGTCCTATGAACAGGAAAGGACATTAAGTTGCCTTCTTGCTAGAAGTACCCAACGTGGTGCCCTCCAGGTGTTGTTGGACTACAACTCCCATCATCCCTGATTAATGGTAATGCTTGGTAGGACTGATGGGAATTGGAGTTCAACAACTTCTGAAGGGTACCATGTTGGCTACCCCAATTGGCTTTGCGGTTTTTTTACAATTCAGCGGTATATACAGTGTTTAAAAATAAATTACAGGCAGCAACCATTTCAGGCATGCCCAATTGATGCACACTGTGCACGCAAGCATCATGCTGGCTTACACTTGCTCTGCCAATGCCTGTGGGGGTCAGGAAAGGAACCCCCGTGCAAAATGGTGGTTGCCTGTAAGCAATTGGAAAGTGTGTTTGAAGTTTCCTTTTGGCTTTCAGGCCTCCACCAGAGAAGGGATGTCAGGCAGGAACAAAGACTTGCCTGGCTTTTTTTATGCTTGTCTGGCACATAATTTTTTTGAACTGCTGAAGCACCTGGAAGTAAATCTGAGCTCTGCTGAATGTTACATGGCTTTTAGTGTCACTGTGAGTCAGTCCAGACTTACTGGCCTGATCCTAATGTAGCTTCTCTGTGCTCTGCAGGTGCCTTGCCATCTGCTAAGTTATCAGTGTACCCTTCTATCATCTTAGCTGTGGCTTGCTTTAATTGCAGAGCAGAACAGAGTGTACACAGCCCTCCCCATCTGGCTCTGGAGCCATCCAAATGTCCTAGAATCCAACTCCCATCGGTCCCAGCAAATGTGGTCCATTCCATGGTCAGGAATGGTGAGAGTTGTAGTCCAAAACACCTGGAAGGTACCAGGTTGTGAAAGCTTGTGGCTGAACCACCTCGTCATAGTTTACCTGCCCCTCCATTGCTATAAGAGGACTCCCCATCCTGATTACACTTTGGCAATCCTTGATCATACATCCACAAATTAGGCAGAAGGTCCCAGGTTCAAACCATGGCATTTCCAGGTGCGTTTGGGAGCCTCTTCTGCCTGAAACCCTCTTCCAGTCAGTGTAGAGAATATTGAGCTGGATGGACAAATGGTCTAAGACAGTTTCCTATATTCCTAAATCCTCTAGGCATTGCTAGATAACTTCTGTGTTCCATGAAGTATTTAACACACTGCCGGTACTAAATAAACTTATTGTAATACATGATGGAGGGACACGGGTGGCGCTGTGGGTAAAAGCCTCAGCGCCTAGGGCTTGCCGATCGAAAGGTCGGCGGATCGAATCCCCGCGGCGGGGTGCGCTCCCGTTGCTTGGTCCCAGCACCTGCCAACCTAGCAGTTCGAAAGCACCCCCGGGTGCAAGTAGATAAATAGGGACCGCTTACTGGCGGGAAGGTAAACGGCGTTTCCGTGTGCTGCGCTGGCTCGCCAGATGCAGCTTTGTCACACTGGCCACGTGACCCGGAAGTGTCTCCGGACAGCGCTGGCCCTTGGTCTCTTGAGTGAGATGGGCGCACAACCCTAGAGTCTGTCAAGACTGGCCCGTACGGGCAGGGGTACCTTTACCTTTACCTTAATACATGATGACATGTTAATCTTCTTGGCATGGTTTTCTTTTGCCATCAGTCCATGGCTGGGTTTCTAAATTTTTTATATGTGTAATCAGGAGTGAAGAATCTCTAGTCTTGCTGATGTTATTGGACTCCCAACTCTCATCAACCTGAACCATCATGGCAGTCAGTGATTTGAGGCAGGAAAATTCCAGTGCTTCCCCCCCCTGCCGAAAATTGTGTTTCATAAGTTTATTAGTAACAATGGATAATATTAGGCAAACTTGGCAGCTCCAGAGCTGTAATTAATGTTTTTCAGGTGATTATCCCTAGCAAATTTGCGAGTCAGCATATCACACACAGTTCTTTGGGTTGCTAAAGCTTATTAGTGTGTCAACGGCTTTCAGTACTTTAGTAGTTTTTAAACAATGTAAAGGAAACCCTTGCTATTGTCATTTCGTTTTCACAAACGTTCCAGTAAAACATTCTGCAAAATGTAACATTTAAACCACATTAAGTAAGCTTTCAATTTACCCTTCAGATATTTGAGCTCAAATGCTTTTGTGCATCCCGATAAAAGACTGGCACAGAGTACGTTTTGAAATCTTTGCTTACTAAATACAGTTAAAATAAACATGGTGAATTTGACTGCTTGTTGATGGCATCGGAAAATTTTCTGATACGAACCAAAAAAATATGTAAATCACTCAAATCAGTCCATGCAAATTAGCCTGATTTACATAGGTGGTTCCCCCGGCAATTTTCCAATTGGTTTTTTTGGGGGCAAAGCCACATCACTAGTTGTGTGCTGTCAGCTATCCAGACATCTGAACCCTTCATGATGGAACAGCAATTCAACTGTAACTGGATGGTGTCACCTATGCTTGCAAACGTAATCAGTTCTCTAGTAAAAACACCCATAGGTTTTTACTTGTTTATTCATTTTCATACCTATGCCTAACTTAACAACTTAAAAAACAGTTTGAAGACTCTAATAAATACAGAAAGGCAGCCATTAAATGCTGAAAAACGAGAGAGAGACAGAGCCACCAAAATAATTTAACCATAGCAGTGAATACCACTTTGGAAAATGAGCAACCACTATGGCTCAAAAGCTGCACTAAAAAGGAAAGCTGTGGTCTCCAGGATCCGTGAAATGTTGAGGGTCAGTTTAAATATTACATTAAAGGGGAAGGCACTGGCTTGCGTAAGCCCCTCACATGGGTGTGGCCCTCCAAACCTCTCGATCTGGCCCTTAAGATTCGCCTCAGGCCACACCCCTTACCAGCCCTACTCTCCACTCTTTTTCCTGACTGAAATTTGCTCAATTGGATAAAGGTTGAAGAGATGTGAGTGGTGTAGAAACCTTGGACTTGTGTGGCTGGAACGTACCAGCCACAAAAGAAGTCAATTCTGTTGCTGTGCCTGCTTTTGCTTCTGAACCTACCCAGCACTAGACGCCCTCAAGGGAGGGCCAGTCTTGCTCTATGGATAAAGGTTCTCCTTCCACCTATCTTAACATCTGATACAGGATGAACCAAAAGTAAGTGTACAGGTACTGCTTTGGAATCCACTTTCTTTGTTCTCATCATTCACGATATCAGTAAAGAAAAAAAAATCATTCATTTTCTTAAAAGTATACCTACTTTTGGGCTACCCTGTAGTATCTCAGAGGAAGGTATGAAATGTGAGCTGAATGGAACCCTGACCTAGAAAGCGCCTTTGGAGTTGGAGGTGGGTGCATGCATCTATGTTAGTATATACTGCAGTGCTGTTGTAGCTTTGCAGCAGCCCAGTTGTTATACAATATGATCGCATCTTATGCACATTTAACTTGTGCAGTTTTAACCATGTGCAGTTGAAATTTCACATTTTAAGTGCAAGAAAATCTGAGAGCTTCAAATCTCGTTTTGTGCAGGATTTGTTTTGTTTTTTCGTTTTGCCTTGCTGGAGAAGCAAGGCCCTCTCTATGCACCAGGTCTAGGATGCTCTTGCAGGAGTGTGCAGGAACTTGGATTTCAGTGACAGACCTGGGGGGTCTCAAATTTCAGCAGATCCTATGTGGGATGCCAAAATTTGACAAATACCCCCCCTTCCATTCTGCATCATAGTTGCAGCACCCTTGATGGTCTGCAGCCAGTTTAACTGAACCAGCCATACTACCCTAAATTTGCTTCTGCAGATAGCCTTGCGAGGATATCTTGGCAGAGAGATGGGGAAACCAGTTGGAAAGGAGCTTTTAAGCTTTCTGTCTTGGTTAGGGGTGTAAATCTTTTGGTAAGCAAGCTCCAGAAGCCTCAGGTTGCTTGTGCGAGGATAGTTGGTTCCAAGTGTTTGAATATATGTGTTTTTGTTTATATGTGAAACTCTTGGAACCTATCATGCTGTATTTTTCGTAGTCACAGCATCCTCTGTGCAAACAGAGCAAAAAGCCTCTCTGGAGACCTGAAGTCACCATGGCCTTCCTTTTATTTTATTTCATTTTTTCCCCCTTGGAAAGCACTTAGCTCTTTGCTTTGCTTTTTCATTTTTTTTTTAAAAAGCACCAATAAGCTGCCTTGACCTCTGACCAACTTCAGGGAGGGGATACACTGGTAGCTGAAGGACAGTTTCCCCCTCCTTACATCATCACAGGGAAGCTGTTCTGTTTCTCAGCAGCTTCCCACGGGCTGCAGCTGCACTGCCTTCCTGCCTTTTCCTCAAATTCTGCTCTTGCCCCAATAATACGTGCCCTAGGCATGGCTGGTCCTTTCTGCTGTTTTTGGATTTTCTGACAATTCTTGATCACTCTCCTTTATTCCATCTCACCTTTCACCTCTTGGGTCAGACCCAGCACAGTCTGGCCCCCTTGAAGCAAGAGTCTCTTGTCCGCACAAAGGAGATGACCACTTCCTTCCCTTAAACACTCCAGATCATCACTGAGTTTCTACTTGGTTGGAATGAGCTGCGGATTTCATCCTGCTTATGTTCAGCTGAAGCTCGGAGGTAAACTTTGCTCGACGACAAAGTAATTGCTCAGCCTTTCCCTAAAAAACAAGGAAGCGTTCAGGGATGTTGAGGATAACAGAAAATTTACCTCTGAACTGTTTCTGTTACCTACTGGTCATTGTAAGAGCCATGTTGTTCCCCTTGATTTCTAATTCTAAATTTAATTTGGCAGTTTTATCTCCTCAGTTGTGTATATGTTTGTACATTGTATGTAAATTGCCATGATTGGTGGTTGATGCAAATTTCCATCGTTGATCTCTGTGTGTCTGCCAGCCTTTGGCTCCTTAAACATGCTGAATTATTGTAAAGGTTAAAGGTGCATGCAAAATCTCTGGATGTGAGCCATGAGCAGCTGGGATCAGTGCCAGCTGGTAATCACTGGACCTGGTGGGGGTAGCCAAGGGGTCGCCAGACGTGTGGTCATTTAGTTCTGCTTTTCTCCCCATTTTCCTCCCTTGCAAAGATACTGTGGGCACTTAAGCAGTGCAGCAGCAAAAATAATGGTTGGGCTCTGCCCAATCTTCCCCTGGTAACCAGCCTCTCATGCATGGAATTGAATATACAGAATCGCCTGGACTGATTAGATCAAGGGCTGTGAGCCCTTTAGCTGTGAAATATATTCAGTCTGTCTCTGGCAACCTTTGATACTGGAACGGGAAAGGTGACAGAGACTGTGTGTGGGGAAGGAGATAACAGCTTTTAACTCCAGGCTCTTGGCAACGCAGGAGAGTCTTGTTGGCAGGTTTGTTGGAGCAAGCATAGGTTTGTAACAACTTTCTGTTCAGTTTCTGCACACGCATTCATGCCCGTTAGGCTCTTGGAATTATAGTCATTCAAATATCTCATTGATGCTTAGAGAATCTTCATGTCGAAATGAGCAATTCCACTCTTCAGGTTTGTTTTTCTCTCTCTTGAGCTCCTTTCTAGGAATCAAAAGTGGGGATCTAAGAGCTAATTCTGCAGTTTATGGTACTGAGTGCTCTGTTGATTGTTCCCCTCTTGATTTAACACAAGGATCATATTTTTCTCTGTGTTTTATGTTTGCATTTTATCAATGTGTGAATTAGTTTCTTCTCCCTTTGGAAAGAGTTTTGGGAGCAAATGCATTAGGAGAACATAGCAGAAGTGGTTTTTCTTGCTGTCTTTAATTAAAGGGACTTTTTTATCAGACAAGCTTATGTTGGCATTGGAAAAAAAATGCAAGCTTTTGCATTTCACAGCACTCTTGGTTAAACAAAACAAGAAAAGGCGCAGAACCTCAGCAATAGAAAGCAGGTGGTTGAAAAATACGTCTTTGCTGCCAACAGGCAATTCACCTGAAACTTGAAAGTTTGCAACTTCTTGTAGCAGCAAAAATCAGTCTGATAAAAGTATATCATGTCCCCTGCTTTATGCTTTGAGAGCAGCATCATAGCCACAGTCTAGCAGATAACCACTCATCAATAATGTGAGAGTCTCAAAGCGTCAGCTTTGAGCAAAGGTAAGAATAATTCTTGCTAACTTATCTGTTGATGATAAATGTGAACTCTGATGTATATGTTATGCTCTTCATGTGAATTGCTTCACGGTATCTTCTTTGTCAACTCTCTTTAAAAAGCTGTAATAGGAAACTGACTTGTATACAGTTGAACCTTTGGTCTATCTAGCTTGGTTTTGTCTGCACTAACTGGCAGCTGTTCTCCAGGGTTTCAGGCAGGAAACCTATCTGGGGATATCAGGGCTTGAACGTGAAATGCAAATGATGCATCTACCACTGAGCTGCCTGTAACACTACGAACATAGGGAGCTTCCTTATACTATACAGTGGTACCTCGGGTTAAGTACTTAATTCGTTCCGGAGGCCCGTACTTAACCTGAAACTGTTCTTAACCTGAAGCACCACTTTAGCTAATGGGGCCTCCTCCTGCTGCTGCACCGCCAGAGCACGATTTGTGTTCTTATCCTGAAGCAAAGTTCTTAACCTGAAGCACTATTTCTGGGTTAGCGGAGTGTGTAACCTGAAGCGTATGTAACCTGAAGCATATGTAACCCGAGGTACCACTGTACTGAGTTCATCTACTATACATTGGTTCATCTAGCTGCCTGGCAGTGTGGCTCTCAGGGTTTCAGGCAGGGAATTATTCTCAGCCATACCTAGAGATGCTGGGAATTGAACCCAGTTGGTTGTTTTGGTCTGTTTAACGTGGTTCTCGTGTTCTAGTGGTGCTGTACCAACAATGCATATTGTAAACTGCCCTGTGATCCTCAGATGAAGGGCGGTATAGAAATTTAATAAACAACAACAAAATTATAATACGGATAAGATTAAAATGCTGGGAATTTCAGCTGGCCAGTAAATGTACCTAGGATTGAAGTTCTTAGTAGATGAAAGGAGGGTTGGCCCACCCATGAGGCAAGATGAGGTGACCGCCTCAGGTGGCAGAATCCATAGGGGCAGCAGATCCAACCTGCAATGAATGCATTGCTCACTATTGCTGCGGCTGCATTCCCCCCTTGTTCCCAGTGTAGATCTTTGTGGTTCATCTCAAGTGCCAAAATGTCTTGGACCAGCCTTGGATGAAATGAATGTTTAGACCCTGCCAAACCTTACATCTCATGCTAGCACGGTCACAAAATAATTGCTGTGAGAATGCTTAAATTAGTGCTCTGGGTCCTGCTTTTGAAGTTTTTCTACAGTTATGAGCAACTTTCTGCAGCCCTCCTTCCCCCCTCCTGTTGTGTTTTCTTTCCATCACTGCCATTACCAGTTCTGGTTTTTGCCTTGAGCTGAGATATAAAGTCAGTTGCATAACTTTGTGAAATACCGCCATAAAGATTAAAATACCTATTTGACCTCTCTGTTGTGTGACCTAAACCAGTAGTCAAGTAAGGATGCTGCTGGCATTGAGAAATCCCTGCTTGGTTGTCACTAGGATTTGGGAAGAGTGGGAGTGTTCTTGCAGGTAGGGACACCACATATGAGAACATGGGAAGCTGCTTTACCCCAAGCCAGACTACTGATCCATCTAACTCAGTGTTGTCTGCACTGACTGGCAGTAGCTCTCAAGGTTTTCAGGCAGGAATCTTTCCCCGCCTTACTTGGAGATGATGGAGATTGACACCTTCTGTATGAAAAGCATGTGTTTAACCACTGGGCTATAATCTGTTCCTCTCTTCCTGAGACCCTGTACAGCTCTGCCAGTCATAATAGGCAATACTGAACTATATGAACAAGTACTCTGACTTGATAATCTGACAACCCGGTATGTTCCTAAATCCACTTCAGCAGGTGCTTATTTGCAGCCACTCTCTACTCAATCATGTCTCCCAGCAGATCAAGTTAGCAGGACGTGTGCTGCCGTGCCACACCATGGTTCCTAACATATAATTGCCAGGTGCAGAGGACTGATTGATTGCAGCAGGCCATTTACGTGATTATTGCCAGCAAAAGACCCAAGAGCTACTGGCCTAATTCTCTTTCCTGCTGTCATCACACAACCTAGCAGCTGACACACTCAAGTCCCATTACCACCCAGAACAGCAGTCTCCCAATTGCAGTCTGATTTAGCAAGTGTCTGAGATGTGGGTGTGATCATTAACCCACAACATGGCCTTGGCCTTATCCCTTCATTGCACAAAACTCTTGATTGTTCTAAAGGTTCCCCTCCAGGTGAATGCGGATAAACCCCACACAGGGTTGGTTGGGAGGGAGGTCAGGTATTTTCAGCTGCATGGAATTCTGTTGCAGAGCAGCCCTGCTTACCTGTTCATATGAAAAGGACAAAACCCAGCATCAACCCCCCAAATCAGCATCTTGGCTGAGGATGCTGCAGGTTCCCCCCCCCCAAGAGACCAGCTGCATATCAGGTGGCGCAGCTGCAATCCAGGGTTTCACCCAAAGTGTCTTTCTCTTCTTAAATCGTCTCTCACACACAGCTCCTTGCATGCAAAGCGTCAAGCATGGATTGCAGTGTGGTTTCAAAACTATTTCTAACAATGGCACATGTGAGTGAGGGTCTCTCCCTGTTTGGTCTCCCTTTTCCAGGATGTGGGGTCGTCAGCTGATTCACCTGCTCTCTAGCTCCCAGCGGCTACTGAAGAAAAGTCCCAGGTGCCGGGTGCCATGGCTGCTCAACTTCAGGAAAACCCTTCCAAGTCTGACTCGTTGGCATCACACAGCCCCAGAGTCGCTGAAGTGTGCCTGGCAGTTAAACGATGATCACTTGGGTAAGTACCCTGGGGGTGAGGGGCTTTGAAGGGCTGGGAAGGATGAAAGTCAGAGCATGTGAGTGGCTTCCTGGGCAAAAGCGCTTCCATTCAAGATGCCAGCCAGCCGTGCTGCTTTCTTAGGACATTCAGTTTTCCCCTCCATGCAGTTAGTCAATCAGCATTCCATGCCTGTAGAGCAAACTCAGCCTTCACTGAGCTGTGTGAGTCCTCTTTTTCTTTAGGGTCTCCCTCCCCCAGAGTTTTTTGTACTTTTGTAAACCTCAGAATTCCCCCAAGCTTGCTTGAAGCTGACTTCTTGCGAGTCAGTTGGTGCCGTCTTGGCTGTGTTGCCATGCACGCTTGCAGAATGTGTTCGTTATTAGAAGGTCACATCCATATTGTACATTTGAAGCACATTCATGCCACTGTATAATAGTCATGGCTGTGGGAGCTCCAGGTCCTGGGATTCTTTGGGGTTGCTTTAAATGTGTGGGATGCATGTGACCTAAATTAGCTGCTATTAAAAGTTTCTGGCAAAGAATGGGATTTCATTTGGAAGAAAATCCTCCTTATTGTTTCTTGCATTTAGCCAGTGGTGTGTGCATGTGTCTTTCCTAGAGCTGAAATATGGGGATGTCCTCATGCGCTTTGACTACGTCTGGCTACGTGATCACTGCCGCTCTGCTTCCTGCTACAATACCAAGACCAACCAGCGCAGCTTGGACACAGCCAGTGTGGATCTGTGCATCAGGCCAAAGAGCGTCCGTGTGGATGAAACAACACTCTTTCTTACCTGTGAGTCCATGGAGTGTTGTTTTCTGGGGTTTAGACGAGGAGGGAGCAGGGGAGGATGCAGAGAAGGATTTCTCAAGAGCACAACTTGAGTAAAGAAGAAACCAAGAGGCTTTTTTCCGTTTATTTGTGGTAAAAGAAGAGGAACCTTGAAGTTCTTTGAACATCTAAAGAAAAGGAACCTGTAAAAGATGGGTTCACACCTGTCTTCATGACTTTGCTAGCGATCCTGATACCAAGAATTTGCTTCTTAAAGATTCATACAAAGTAATTTTTTTTAATAAAAAAAGAAATCCAACACAGAAGGAGTCCATAGGGTTTCTTAAGGATTTAAAAGTAAGTCATAATAAAATAAGTTCAAATATGGTTCTGTTACAGCCAGAAGACTAATAGCAAGTACCGTATTTTTCGCCCCATAGGGCACACCGGCCCATAGGGTGCACCTAGTTTTTTGGGGGGGAAATAAAGGGGGAAAAATTATTTCCCCCCCAGGTGCGGGGCTGGGGCGGGGGAATCCCGAGCTTCCCCCAACCCCAGCCTCCAGAACAGGCTGCTGTCTGCAAGCCGTGGGAGAGCTGCGCGACTTCGCGCAGCTCTCTCATGGCTTGCAGAGAGCCGCCCGAAGCCTGGGGGGCGCTGAGTTTGGCGCGCCCCAGGCTTCTGGGTGCAGGCAGCTCTCCGCAAGAGGTGGGAGAGCTGCGCGAAGTCGCGCAGCTCTCCCACAGCTTGCGGATAGCTTCTTGAAGCCTGGAGAGCGAGAGGGGGCGGTGCGCACCGACCCCTCTCTCTCTCTCCAGGCTTCAGCGAAAGCCTGCATTCGCCCCATAGGACGCACACACATTTCCCCTTCATTTTTGGAGGGGAAAAAGTGCGTCCTATAGGGCGAAAAATACGGCAAATAAGACATATCATAAAACATAAATGGTTGTTTTCCTTGTTGCTCTTCTTGACCTTTTGCTGAGGCAGGTCTACAAAATCGGCAAAGAAGCAAAAACAGAAAGGATATTCCTGGGAGGAATCAGGAATTAACGAAGAAGTATTCTCAAATAGTATGCAACTATGATTTTGGATTACAGTAATTAATATTTTTGAGAGACTTAATCACATTTTCCATTTTTCTCAGTTATTATTCTTCAAAACTCAGTAATATTGTCCTGTAAATAGCTTTTGTACTTTAACCATGGGAAGTAGCTAAACCAAATAAGCAACATCATTTCAGCAAACAGCTGATTCCATACTCAAAACCATAAAAATTCTGTAAGACATTTAAACAAATACTTAAGAGCATCCAGACAGGCAGTGTTAACTATGTGCACAATTTAAAATTATTATACCTTCTTCTTCTTTGAATCCATTTAGATGTTGCCTTATATAGTCATCAAGTTTCCATTCTCGTTATACACCTATACAATTGCAACTTCACACATTCTCACACCCTCATACTGTTTCACGTGTTCTTGGATTAAAAAGCAAACTTAATTGTCAAAAGTAGGTTTAATCAAAATTTGCTATTAAATAATACAAATAGATATAAATAGATCCTAAAAATAGACCCTTTCCTGTGGACTTGAATTTTATACCCCTATATTTATTCAGTTGCTTTTATTGCTTTTTACTGTACTGTATACTATATGTACTAGACACTTCTGAACTCCTATTAATTTGGACTTCAGGCTTACTTCACTGAGCTGTCTTTCTGAACTGACTGAGCGATATTCTTATTCTGTCTCCTAACAATTCTTAGTACAAAATAACAGCCAAAACCATTTAAAGACTCCTTCTAGTCAATGAGTAACCAGCATTCATGGGAGACTGCTGGGGTCAAAGGTTGCTGAGAACTCAGCAATTTTTCCCAAGACATAGGCTTTCGAGCTTCAGCAAATGTCACATACCACATCGCTGCAGACAAATGTCCAATAAGGATTTTTATTTAATAGCAAAATAAATAAACAAAAACAAGTAAACCAATCACACCCTTTCACAGCAAAAGCTTCTAGACTTACAAACTCAGAAGCAGTGTTAAGAAAACAAATCTCCATTGATGAAGCACCACACCTAAATCACAGCAGCACAGAATTTGAGCCCCACCTTTATACTTCCTTGTCTCTCCTCCTATGACTATTAATTTTCATTCCTAAAATGGCAAAGGGTCTTAAAATATCCAGCATTATTTCCTGCTTTTGATGATTCCGCCCATGCATGAAACCTATAGCTCCTTGGGCATTCTGTTGTTCCAGGTATGATTTGCGTGTGTTTTTAGAAAGATTAATCACCTCCTTGTTTTTAACGACATAATGTGCTGTTAGCTGCTTGGTTACGGGAAATTGATATTTGGAAACTTCAACAGAACATCAATACATCCTCTAGTCTCCTTCTATTTAATATTTAGCTAGTGCCTAATAACTAAAAAATAATTTCTTACTTAGGTAAAGCATAATACAGAGGTTTAATTCTTAGAGAACAGCCGTAGAAGAGACCCTGTGCTCGTTATATGCGTTTTCCTGTACCCACATAAGCTGATAAGAGTCCTGCTGTGTTAAGCCAAAAGCCCAACCCGTCCAGCATTCTGTTCTCACAGGGCCCAACCAAATGCCTATGGGAAGCATGCAAGCTTCTCCCTTGATTAAGTGTTGTTTTGAAAAGAAGCCCTTCTGTAAACCGAGGGCATGAGAAATAACTGCCCTCTGGCTGGCTCTGGTTTTAGATGAAAGTGAAGTTGTTACTGCTTATTTACTTGGACTTGAATATTTTCATTAAAAATATACAAGAACAACAAGTTCAGCAAGTTTGGTCATTTCAGCCATATGCTAAACCTTATCAAACCAAACCACTCTTTCAATATTTCATTCAGTTTTGTTTTATTTTTAAAACTCATGTTCTACTTTATTCTGCAAAGAAGCTCAAGGCAGCTAAAAGTAGTAAAGGCAAAACAAACATAAGCCCCAGAAAATCCCAACGTGCACTCAAAATAACCTCAGTATGCAACCAAATTCCAGTTGCATAAATCTAGGCGTAGAACCAACCCAGCAAAATATTGCAGAGTTAATGCATGACTTCTTCACATAGAAGAAGGTGAGCCTTTAGGTTTGATCAGGACTGGGGAGCCTGTGGCTTTTTCTGTTGTTTAGAGTCCAGCTTCCATCACCCCTGATCATTGGTTGTGCTGTCAGGGGCTGATGGTAGTTGGAATCCAACAACATCTGGAATCCCAACAACAGCTTTCCCTAGCCCTGGGTTGCATTGACGCTATATAGAAGATCAAAGGGTTGCACAAAAGGCTGCTGGAAGAAACAGACTGTGGACTCTCTGTGTGTTTCTCTCTCTTTTTCTCTGATCATAAAAGGATTACCAGTTACCCAGATCTGCCTTTATCATTTCGAAAAATGTTTGCACTAATCCTGTCTGTCTCCCAGGGCCAGATGGCCACGTGACGAGGTACGGGTTGGAATGGCTGCTGAAGAACAGCTACGAAGGGCAGAAGCAGCAGGTCATGCAGCCACGCATTCTCTGGAATGCTCATATCTACCAGGAAGCCCAAGTGCCCTCAGTGGACTGCCAGAGCTTCCTGGAGACCAACGAGGGCCTGAGAGAGTTCCTGCAAAACTTCTTGCTCTACGGGATCGCATTTGTGGAAAACGTCCCCCCAACCAAAGAAGACACCGAGATCTTAGCAGAGAGGATCAGCTTGATCAGGTAACTGTGTGGGTGTTTTGGTAAGTGGAAATATGTCAGGAGCTTGCCTGGGTTGGGTCACAACACTGCTGTACTTCTCCTCTGACTGAGCTGAGAAAGAAGTGTAGCATTCCAGAGTCTGCAGCCTTTGCATTCAGCATCTCCTGCTGATGCTCATAGGGCTGGAAAGAGACTCGGAAGCATTGACCTCTGACCCTGCAGAAGTTGTTGGACTCCAGCTCTCATCAGACCCAGCCAGTGGCTATGGATTATTTTAGTCCAGAGACCTATGAAGTGCTGCATCTTCTCCACCCCTGTGTTAAAAGAATTTAGGCAGGGCGAGAGTTGCAAAGCACTTTATATATGCAACGAAGGGTACTTTTTAAAAAGCACATTTTATTTATTATCTTGCAAAGCACCTTCTAAATGCAAAATGTGTGTTCTACCACTGAGATATGGTTTAATCCAGCCTTCAGCTGCCTGGTGCCCTCTAGGTGTTTTAGGCTGCAATGCCCATCAGCTCCTGTGCTAGATGAGGCTGATGGGAGTTGCAGTCCAAAAAATCTGGAGTGTTCCAGGTTTATTTAGTCCTTGTCTACCTGCATCAGTTGCATCTGGGCCCTGGTGGTTGTGGCATTTCTTCTCATGCACTAGATAATGTGCTCCATGCTGATGTCTATTGAGGATTATTGTGTGGCTGCGCAGAACTGGGGGGAAATGTTTCTTTTTCTTCCTGCTCACAATAAAGAAGGTGGGGGGAAGAGTACTATCTTTTCCTTTAGCATTTGTTCAAGAGCTGCCGGAGCTGAGCATAGGACAAGGAGCAAGTTCTTTTGGCAGGCTGGGAACATTTTAGTGTTCACGCCAATCACTGCTTCCTGTTTTCCCTGCAAAGGTTAGGAGAAACAGCCTCAGCCCCTGGAGACCCAAAGACCAAAGCAGGGCTTGGGACGTCAGAGGAAAGTACAAGGAATGTTTCTCTTCTCCTCCCCTTCCAATTTAAACTGCAGTTGTCAGGCTGACCCTGGATTGCCCTGGGGGATTAGGAAAGAAGGGATTTATACCAGCTGCCTGCCTGCCGGTTCCCTTTCTCTCCAGCCTGGAAGTGGCCTGAGCAGCCTCTTTGGCCTGGGAGCTTCTAGTCTGTCTTGCTGCTGTGTCTAATAATTGTTCCTTTCAACCCCTCCCATGTGTGGCTTGTTCTTAAGGCTGGATTCTCTTTTCATCTTCTCAAATCCACCCAGATTCTTTCTCGCTTTAGTAAATATTATTACTTCTGAAAGACTGGCATGTGCAGACAACATTCAGACTTGCTATCCTTAACCCCAGAAGGAAATTCAGGACTGGGTTCAGAGAGAAATAGCTGAAGTAGGAATAGCTGATTGCGGGTGTTTAGATAAGCAGAGGGAGACCCTCTTGGCAGTTCCATCACACTCAGAAGTTCAGTGGCCCAGGAAAGGGCATTCTCTTTGACAGCCTTTTAAGCTGTAGAACTTCCTCCTCACAGAGATGTGTCTGGAACCTTCAAGATATTGTTTCTGCCTTATCCTGAAGACACTCCTCTTTTGCCCGGACTTTGATACCCGAGATGTGTATTTTCAGGAACTCACCTGTTCTTGTAATTTATTTATATATTGCCCCTTCGTCGAAAGATCTAACTCCATGCACGCTTCCAAGTCCATGGAAATTACGTCTGAGCAAACATAGATAGAATTGGTCTGCACAGGTGTTGCTTCACCTGCCCATTCGCATGAATTATCATCAGGCCCACCTGCCGTGGCTTTAGTGGTTGGTGCCAACACAGAGGCCTTTATGTGTGTGCTTCTCTCTCTCTCCTTTTCTAGGGAGACTATCTATGGCAGGATGTGGCACTTCACCTCTGACTTCTCCCGGGGAGACACAGCCTACACCAAGCTGGCTTTGGACCGTCACACAGATACCACTTATTTCCAGGAACCCTGTGGGTAGGTTTCAATGGCCTAAGAGGCAGGGACTGACATAAGTCACAAATGCACTGCTCCTTTTTTGTCATGATTAGGTTTAAACACATTGTTATGTTTAATACTTCTATCCCTGTTACATCTTTAGAACAGCCTACATTGGGCTTCCATCCAAGTGTTGTCTAGGTGATTAAGTAAGTAATGCAGATGTATTTTAAGTTATCCTGAGGCCTGAATTGTTTAACAAATTTACATGGCCCATCTAGTCCAGCATCCTTTTTCTCACAGCGGCCAACCAGATGCCTGTGGTATGCCAGGGAGCAGAGCATGAGCACAAGGGCAACTCTCCCCTCCTGTGGTTTCCAACAGCTGGTATTGCTGCCTCTGACTGTGGAGCTAGAAGCCATTGATAGCCTTCTCTATGAATTGGCCTAATCCTCTTTTAAAGCCCTCCACCACTGCCTCCTGGGAGAGAGAGTTCTATAGTTTGACTCTGAGCTGCGTGAAACACTTTTTTTAACCTGTGCTAAATCTTCCAATAACTACCCCATTCCCACCCCACCTTACAGGGTTCAGGGAACCCACCCTGCCAGAGTAGTCAGGTTCACTTTACCTCAACAAATGCTGTAGAGTTTGTGGGGCATTCACATTTTGAGTCTTATGACTTCAGTCATTGTCAGTAGGGCAGGCTCCCCTGAGCTCATTAACAGTGGCTGCACCTGCAATTAGGAGCCAGCCTATTAAGAATCCCAGGAAGCTGTTTTTACATCAGTTAGAGCCGTAGCTCAGTGGTAGAGAATCTGCTTTGCACGAGGAAGGTCCCCGGTTCAACCCCTGACGTCTCTAGGTAAGGCTGGGGGAGAACCCTGTCTGAAACCCCAAGAGCTGCTGCCAGTCAGTGTTGACAGTACTGAGTTAGGTGAACCAATGATCTGCCTTGGTATAAGGTATCAGATCAAACTACTTTCCCATCTAGGTCAGTAGTGTCAACTCTGTGGCAGTGGTTCTCTAAAGGTCCTTCACATCACCTGCTTCTTGATTATTTTTGAAAGGAGTACAGTGAAGAACGGAGGGACACGGGTGGTGCTGTGGGTTAAACCACAGAGCCTAGGACTTCCTGATCAGAAGGTCGGCGGTTCAAATCCCTGCGACGGGGTGAGCTCCCGTTGCTCGGTCCCTGCTCCTGCCAACCTCGCAGTTCGAAAGCACATCAGAGTGCAAGTAGATAAATAGGTACCGCTCCGGCGGGAAGGTAAATGGCGTTTCTGTGCGCTGCTTTGGTTCGCCAGAAGCGGCTTAGTCATGCTGGCCACATGGCCCGGAAGCTGTATGCCGGCTCCCTCGGCCAATAAAGTGAGATGAGCACCAAAACCCCAGAGTCGGCCACGACAGGACCTAATGGTCAGGCATCCCTTTACCTTTACCTTTACAGTGAAGAGGGACGCGGGTGGCACTGTGGGTAAAAGCCTCAGCACCTAGGGCTTGCTGATCGAAAGATCGGCGGTTCGAATCCCCGCGGCGGGGTGCGCTCCCGTTGCTCGGTCCCAGCGCCTGCCAACCTAGCAGTTCGAAAGCACCCCCGGGTGCAAGTAGATAAATAGGGACCGCTTACTAGCGGGAAGGTAAACGGCGTTTCCGTGTGCTGCGCTGGCTCGCCAGATGCAGCTTTGTCACGCTGGCCACGTGACCCGGAAGTGTCTCCGGACAGCGCTGGCCCCCGGCCTCTAGAGTGAGATGGGCGCACAACCCTAGAGTCTGTCAAGACTGGCCCGTACGGGCAGGGGTACCTTTACCTTTACCTTACAGTGAAGAATGCAACAGCACAGGGCATCAAGGGACTCCCAAGCTGTGATCATCTCTTCCAGCTTCTCAGAGTGCTTCAGAAAACCAACAGGAAACTAAGCAGTCCTGCCTTTATTACCAGTGACAGCAGTTTGATGTTTTTATTACCCAGTTATGTGAATTTCAAAACCTGGCCATCACCCTAATATAGCCACATTGCAGAGAGCTCTAGTACAGAGGAATTTAAGTCCCTTTAAACTGTGGCAATTCCAAACAGCCTGAGCCTGCTTGAATAGCGCTCTGAACAGGTCCTGAAAACATTGACGTTGGACAAGATTTTGGGAGAACGTATCCAGCACAGAGACTGCAAAGTTTAAAATCTCTCTAAGGGTAAAAAAAAGAAGTTTAAAAGCCTGAGGTTGCACCATTATATTCACCGCTATATGTAATATGTTATGATCAAAAAACAAGAAGCAGGTTTCTAGACCTCAAGATAGTAAAGGGAAACAAAAATGCTTTGTAGAATCTCAGAAGCCAGCTGAACTTCAGAGACCTTGCAATATTAGTTTTGCCCCTTCTAATAACTAACAGAAGCAATAGAGAGGGAGAGGGTTTAAACACATTTCTCTACACAAATAGACAAGTGCTCAGGAACTGTAGGTTGCTGGCATAGTCTGTGTTTTATATACAGAAGGCTTAGGTCCAGGTCCATTGCAGGCCTATATTATTTAGGCCAATTCCAAACTAGATGCAGCAGTGGAAGTTTTAGCCTTATTCCCTAACTAAAACCAGGTGACTGAACCAGGTGCATATGAGAGGCATTCAGTGGTTTGCATCCAGAAATGCAGATTCAGTAACCTTTTGGCAGCAACCTCAAGTCTGATGTTCCAGGAGCCCAAAGCAAGAAGGAACCAGGTGCTGAGATGAGATACGCTCTGTATTAGGGAATGGATGCTGTGCTTTCTACTCATTTCCTCCCAGGGACTAGACTTCTTTTAATGAGCCAGGAGCCAAAGCGGTAATGACAAGAGTAATGTCAAAAACAGCAGTGGGGAACCCTTGGCCCACAGACCTAGTTATGCCTGTTAGGCCTCCCCATTTGGCCCACCAAGCCTTACCTACCTGCTCTACACCTGATGCCACATATGACATGGCTGAGCCAAAAGAGAGGTTGTAGGCACTGCCAGTTAGCTGATCAATGGTGTCTGAAAGCCCTGTGCATGGGGCTTTGAAGCACCAACACGCAGCTCATTTTCCATGCTTAACAGAGCACAGGGCTTTGCTTTTCACTTGCACTATTTGGTTTCAAACCACACAGACAAGAATGTGAAACCTGACATTGTGGTTTGGGTTGATTGGCAGGTGGCCAGCTCTGCTCATCTGTCATATTGGGGACAAGGAGAGAGATAAGAATTCTAACTGTTGGCCAGCTCTAGTGTCCCACACCTGGTTTAGAACAAGGCCACTGCAAAGGACCACAAGAGAGTTTGTTGATCTGACCTGTCAGGGCCACTCTTAGAGCCACAGCAGAATCACTTTCCAGGCTACATTCAGTTTCCCTGTTAATTTCCACATTATATTTGAACTTTCGCATGACATAAAGGCCATTTCTAGAAATCAAGTGAAACATAGTGGAAGTTTGGTGCTCATTTCCATGTTAATTACTTCCAGAACAAAATCAGCATGCAACTGCATTAACCCAGAAGATCGTGGGAGTAATTGGCAAAATTTGGGGTGATAATGCCAGCCTACATTTCTTTCCTGTGGTTTCCATGGGGAAATGGAAGTACACATGCAGAAAGAGTGATTTTCTACAATAATGTCCATAGTTGGGTCACACCACACCCAGTGACATTTAGCACAACATTTAGCTGGTACAGTATATTGGTCAAAAAGCCAAAGTTCCAACAGGTAATGCATTGTGAAAGGAACAATACAGGAGCATTAACAGGATACCCCCCCACACACATCTGAATGTACTTATTGCCACCAAGTGACTGGCTTCTTCCTTGCCCTCCACAGCATCCAGGTGTTTCACTGCCTCCGGCATGAAGGGACAGGTGGTCGTACATTGCTTGTGGATGGCTTCTACGCAGCAGAGCAGGTGCTCCAGCAAGCCCCGGATGACTTTGAGCTCCTCACCAAGGTGCCACTGAAGCACGAATATATCGAGAATGTGGGGGGCTGCCACAACCACATGATTGGGGTTGGGCCTGTCTTGAATGTCTACCCCTGGAACAACGAGATCTACTTGATCAGGTGAGATGGCCAGTGTCTGCCCTGGTCTTTGCAGCACCACAGAGCACTCCAAGTGAACAAAGCTAGAGGTGGACTGAGGCCATTTGAGCCTCTGTTGCCAGTCCTAGGCTTCACCTCCTTTGTGATAGCTACAGTCCTTAAAGGGTCTACACTTGGGCCTGTGGACAGGCAGTTCTTCTCAGACCCAGGGAAAGCACCTGTGAGGGTCCTGGATCTGTCATTGAGGAATCTGGTCCAGGGGGCTCTTGCCCACCAGACTCCAGTTTAGCAGCCCCGCTGGTCTCCAGCATCAGGCTTTGTGATTCTGGCTCCTTAGGGGGTGACTCTGCAACCTCTTACTTGGTATGCTGGGTGCTGCTGGATTCTAGGGTTGTGACAACATCAGTTGGAACAGTTTGTGTTCATGCAAACATGGTCGAATTGCATGTTCCACCACCAGAAGAGATACCCAAGTGATTTAACCACCAGTTCCTGGGAAACACTGGGAATTGTAGTTCTGTGAAGGGAATAGTTGTTCTCCTAACAACTCAGCACACTTACCAAACTACAGTTCCTAGGATTCTTTGGAGGAAGCAGTGACTGTTTTAAAGTGACACAATACTGCTTTAAATGTATAGTGCAGATGAGGCCTTAAGCAGTCAGAGTTCAGCCAGAGCTGAGCAGGGATGTGATCCTAGATATATCTACAGTCCTTGTTTGTTCCTCTAGCCATCCCAGCAAATAGTCCTGTACCAGAGCCCAGGCGATGCTTCATTGTGGATCTTGTGCTGATAAAATAGTTACCACTTTATTACGGAATCTGGCTGGTCAAGAAGAAAAATCAAGTTGTGCTGCAAAATTACCTTCCCCTGGCAAGTTCCTACTGAATGACCCCCCCAAAATTAACATTTGCTTTTTTAAAAAAATCACAGGGGTGAAGCTACTAAAAGATGCACCATTTGAGCACATTTACTGGCTGTGCACACCTTACACCATTCCTGTCCTTCCCCGTAATTTCTGCAGAAAACCCAAGTCCAATTTATGTGTGCACAGGTATAGGGAACTTTTGGCTTCACAGATGTTCCTATACTACAGTTCCCATCATTCATGACCATTAGCCTTACTGGCTGGTGGAAACTGAAGCCTTAACAACAGGCTCCCTTCATCTGATATACACAAAGCATTTGCTCCCACTGATAAATAGATATCACTTCTAGCAGTCATGCCTCTGCCCATGCAGATCCTTAGAGACTTACTGGTTCCCATGTGGGGATTGCAATCCACTGTGGATGTTCCCTTCTGCTGCTTTATTTTAGGTACAACAACTACGACCGAGCCGTCATTAACACGGTGCCTTATGACACTGTGCACCGCTGGTACAGCGCACACCGCACTCTCACCGCCGAGCTAAGGAGACCGGAGAATGAGCTCTGGGTGAAGCTGAAGCCGGGCAAGGTAAAGTCATGGCAAGCAGATTGGCATGTGGCTTTGGTGTGGAGGCGTTTGGTACTAGCAGCTCAGAGTTAAGTGCTCTTCCACTGCTAAACTACAGAATTAGCCCCCAGAAGACGTAGAGATTGCAAGCAATTTGGATGGCACTAAAAGAGGGTTAAAGGGACGTGGGTGGCGCTGTGGTCTAAACCACAGAGCTTAGGACTTGCCGATCCGAAGGTTGGCGGTTCGAATCCCCGCGACGGGGTGAGCTCCCGTTGCTCGGTCCCAGTTCCTGCCAACCTAGCAGTTTGAAAGCACGTCAAAGTGCAAGTAGATAAATAGGCGGGAAGGTAAACGGTGTTTCCGTGTGCTGCTCTGGTTCACCAGAAGCGGCTTAGTCATGCTGGCCACATGACCCGGAAGCTGTCTGCGGACAAACACCAGCACCCTCGGCCTATTGAGCGAGATGAGTGAGCAACCCCAGAGTCGGTCACGACTGGACCTAATGGTCAGGGGTCCCTTTACATTTACTAAAAGAGGGTTGGACGTGTTCACAGAGGAGAGAGCTATTCATGTCTCTTAGTGACAACAATGGCTGTGTTCTACCCCGACTGCCAGAGCCTCTGCCACTTGCTAGGAATTGTAGGTGGGGAGAGGGCTGCTCTGGTCTTCCCTGCAAGCTTCTCATAGGCATCTGGTTGAACACAGTGATAGCAAGATGCTGGACTTGTGGAGCCTTTTTGGCTTGATCCAGCAGGGCTGTTCTTCACTTTGTGTCCAACCTCTTCCATGCAGGAGGGCAGAAATATATGTGTGCTACATCTGAACCATCCTTGTTTCAAGTATCTCAAGGGAAACATGAAGGGAACATACTGAGGCTCCCAGCACTAATTTAACACCAAACTAACATCTGCTCAAGAGTGAAGAGGGCAACAGACACTCAATTCTCTGTATAAAGTAGCTTTTTATGTTCATATTGTGGGGAACTTCAAACCCACGGGCCAGTTTAGCCCATGAGGCTGTACACCCATCTGTCCAAGGTCTGACATCATATGTGGCATAAGGTGTAGAGCAAGGAAAGATGTGGCTCAGATTGGGGCTGCTCTCAGCCCCCATCAGTTGAGGGGTGCTGAGAGGGAGACCTTCTGAAGTCATCCCCTGATGATGGTTATGGTGATAATTTATTATTTATATGCTGCCCATCTTGACTGGGTTGCCCCAGCCACTCTGGGTGTCTTCCAACAAAGTAAAAGCATTTAGCACAGTAAAACATCAAATATTTAAAAACTTCCCTATACAGGGCTGCCTTCAGATGTTTTCTAAAAGTCAGATAGTTGTTTGTTTCCTTGACATCTGACAAGAGGGCGTTCTACAGAGCGAGTGCAAATGCCAAGAAGGCCCTCTGTGATGTCACAAATGACTCGAGATGATTCACAGGTGTGTGGACCCACCCACCTTTCAAAGTTGGGGTGAAGGGAGAAAGGAGCCAGCTGACTTCCCCCCATCGTTGCTGTAATAAGTAGCCTCATCATGACTACACACAGTTTTATTATTATTATTATTATTATTATTATTATTATTATTAATTTTGCCGGGACGCGGGTGGCGCTGCGGGTAAAAGCCTCAGCGCCTAGGGCTTGCCGATCGAAAGGTCGGCGGTTCGAATCCCCGCGGCAGGGTGCGCTCCCGCTGCTTGGTCCCAGCGCCTGCCAACCTAGCAGTTCGAAAGCACCCCCGGGTGCAAGTAGATAAATAGGGACCGCTTACTGGCGGGAAGGTAAACGGCGTTCTGTGTGCTGCGCTGGCTCACCAGATGCAGCTTTGTCACGCTGGCCACGTGACCCGGAAGTGTCTCCGGACAGCGCTGGCCCCCGGCCTCTTAAGTGAGATGGGCGCACAACCCCAGAGTCTGTTAAGACTGGCCCGTACAGGCAGGGGTACCTTTACCTTTTTATTATTAATTTATACCCCTCCCATCTGGCTGGGTTTCCCCAGCCACTCTGGGCGGCTTCCAACAAAATATTAAAATACAGTGGTCTGTTAGACATTAAAAGCTTCCTTAAACAGGGCTGCCTTCAGATGTCTTCTAAAAGTCTGGTAGTTGTTTTTCTCTTTGACATCTGGTGGGAGGGTGTTCCACAGGGCGGGTGACACTACCGAGAAGGCCCTCTGCCTGGTTCCCTGTAACTTGGCTTCTCGCAGTGAGGGAACAGCCGGAAGGCCCTCGGCGCTGGACCTCAGTGTCCAGGCAGAATGATGGGGGTGGAGATGCTTCTTCAGGTATACTGGGCCGAAGCCATTTAGGGCTTTAAAGGTCAGCACCAACACTTTGAATTGTGCTCGGAAACGAACGGGGAGCAGACACATAAACGTACACAGACAGACACATGCTCCTTCAATACGTGGCCTCTCCAGTTCAAGTGGTGGGAAAGACCCCTCTACCTGTGACCCAGATAGTGATGTAGGAGAGCTGGAGGGGGGGGGGTCACATCTGGTAACCAATGTGCCCCTTTGGTTTCAGCTAGTGCATAGGTAGACAGGTCTAAAAAGCTGGGGGCTGCAAATTTTCACAGTCCTCTAGCAGCTATGGTGGCTCATTGACCAGAAGTAATGTTTTTAGCATTAACTCTGGAAGTGTATTCTTGATTCTGACCAAACTCAGCCTTCTAGAGCACAATATACATCAGGAGGCTTAGTTTGGTCAGAATCGGGTATACACGTCTAGTAAATACATTACTTGTGGTCAATGAGCCACCATAGCCACTAGAGGGCTATAAAAACTTGTGTTCCAGGCTTTTTAGACTCTCATACCCATGTATTGTCTGAAACCAAAGGGGCTCATGGGTTGCCAGATGCAAAATATATTGGCATTATTTTCAGCTTTCCTACCCCCCACTAAGAGAATTGTAATGCAAGGCTGTGCAGACAACCCTGGGTTGGGTGGACAGATCTTCTGACCCTTGTATAAAGCAGCTTCCTCACTTGTCTTCCATTTCCAAAAGAATGGGGGAGACAAGCTACATGTCTGTTCCTGCTAAGATTACCTAACCAGATGCCAATGATGTAACAGGTATAGGAAGAGTCTTGCAGCGTGGACACAAATTTCCCATTCGTTCTTTCTGCAGGCCCTGTTTGTGGACAACTGGCGAGTTCTGCACGGCCGGGAGTCTTTCACAGGTTACCGCCAGCTCTGCGGCTGCTACCTGACGAGAGATGACGTGCTGAATACAGCCCGCTTCCTGGGGCTGCAAGCCTAGCTTGACCTGGGCTTCCGGAATTTAGGGAATTGCGGATCCAGGAATGAGAGAGCTTTTCGCAATATACCTCACAGACTTGACCTTCTGCTCGCAAGAGGAGGAGAGTTCCCCATGGGATTACTTGATTGTCAGCCAGCCCATGCAGTTTATTTGCCTTTCCCCCCACCCCACACATACACTATCCCAGTTTTTTGGTCTTTTGTTGTCCAACTCCCTTTGGCTTTCACGGCACAATGGACACATTTGGTGCAGGAAGGAATCAAAGTCCACTGCAGCACTCGAGGTGCCAGATCTTGTTGTGCCTTTTTGCTGTTGTAACTGAACTATAATGCTAACTTTGGTCAGTGGGCATTTTTTACACTGGCACTCCATAGTTTTGCTGACCACAGGACAAGTGAGTGTCCTTAGAAGTGTGGGGAGAGAACTCTCTCCACCCGACACCAGTCTTCAAACACCTTCAAAAATACACAAGTGCCAGGTGTTGGAAGCTTTTAGGGCTGTCCCCATTGTCTGCTGATGGCTCAAACTTGCCATATTGATAGGAAAGCAGCTACAGGAAATTTTGTGGCGAGGGAGGAGAGCTGCATGGCTAGAGCCAGGTAGTTATGCTGGGGGTCCTTCTTTACCAGAACTGCAAACGACAGTTTGTGCACAGTGATATCTTCCCCTTCCCCATATCCTGCGTTGTTTTTCTTTTGCCATGATAGCTCCTCCTAGTCCATGATAGCTGCCCTTTCTTCATTTTGGTTCTTGAATATATATTTTTGCCTTGTGCTTTTTCTTTTCTTTTCTTTTCTTTTTGCTTTGGCCTTCCAAGGATTTACTCCTACTTCGTTGATAGCCTCTCACCTTGTGAGCAATAGGAAAGTAATTGAATTAGGAGCAGTGGCACTGTCAGGGCAGGACTCTGGGGCAGAGGTCATGGTCCCTTCAGCAAAATGAGCATGGAGGCCGACAGACATGGCAGCAGGACTGACTTTCCACATTTTTGAAGTTACTGGAACAAGATGAATGACCATCTAAAGTGAGGAAGGGGTTCCCAGCTGTGGTTTCTTTGGTTAAAAAAAATAGAGGTGCTGGTACTCATATCTAGTACCAAGGATGCCAGAACAAAACAAGGCAATGTTCCTCCATACAGGTGGGGAAAAGCACTGACTTCCCATAAGACCAGTGGTGGGCCTACATTTGGGGGGTCCTGATGCTTGCTCTGTTATGGGGGGCCCCTTTGCAACCAGGTATGGGTAACCACGGTTGTCTTCCTCAATGGGGTTGCTTCACGACAATCACTGCAATTAAAAAATAATAATTCAACTACTGCATCTCATATTTTGATTGAAATTCCTATCCCGCGACACTCCACCTTTGCAGCGTTTGTGCTACTGACTCTCAAAATTTGGGATTGTTGAAAAATTAATTGATTTGACTTGTGCAGCTGCACTAAAGTCCCTTCTGGAGCCCCTCTGGGATTAAGGGTCCTGAAGCTTAAGCTTCATTTGTTTCATAGTAGATTGGCCCCTGCATAAGACCATTAAGTCCAGCATCTAAAATTAAGCATCAGCACTGCTGTTTCGAGGGAAGGCCTGAAGCAGTTGAGCCCTGTTTTAGAAAATATCTCAAGGGGGAAAAAAGAAACAAAGCCAACTTCCTTAAATTCTGCACTCCTTGAGTTGGGAATCTCTCTGCTGGCTGAGCAACTTACCAGTTTTGTTTTTGAACCACTGGCCTTTCTCAGTAGCTGCCTTTTGTACCAGTAGGAATAGGAATAGCACATGGAGGACACTTCTTCTAGAATTCAAGTGAATGTCTTAAGTGAAGAAACTGTGCCCAACCACCTCACTGCCTGTACAAAATAGCTTTTTTGGCCACGAACAAAGGATTCTGTGTATGTGCAGATGAGGTATGAATGCAAGCCGTTCACCAGGAGTACCTTCTTATGGATCCTACCAGCACAGTGGGACTTGTTCCTCTCATGTTGCTGTTATTGGCCAGGACAAAGTTGGGATATCAAGGGCTGCTATTTCTGGTGACACAGGAAGTCATTACCTGCCATTGCACGAGCCCCTCAAGTAGCATCTAAAGACCCACTTTTTCTGTCCCTGAATTGAATGTAAACTTCCTGCCACCCAGCCTACATTGGATTTGCATCCACGCTTCAGTTGTTAATCATGGCTAACAATGCAACACTTATTTTCAGATGCAGACTCCTTGCCTATGTCTTCAGTTCACGCAGTTCAGTCTTTTTTTTAAAAAAAAAAAAAGTTTTGTGCATGTTTCTGTTTCTGTGAAATTAGCTTCACAATGTATTTGAGAGTAAATGCCTGAAAATATTTTATATGTTTTTAATCTCAGGCAGAGGGAGATGTTGAAAGAGCTGAAAGAGGTAGTAGAAGGTCTGCTGTGGCTTCACATATTTCCACTGCTGAATCTGGCAAGATCTGGGCCAAATCCATTTCCTGTATCTGGAACACCTTTTTGTCAAATAGGGGTTGGCAACCGGCTTCAGCTAGCTAGGCCAGTGGACTTTTTTTTTCCTGGGAAAAGGAAAGCAGCTCCCCTCTGCACATGATCTGAGGTATGACCAGAATCAGGTGCACAGGGTCATTGCTATAACTGACCTTTGACATGCCAAACTGAAGAGAGAGAGACCCATTAAGCAGCTGTGAAAACCTGGTCTCTGTATTAGTAAACAGGAAGTGATGCTGTACTTCCCTGGTAGGCATTTTTGGTGCTTGGTGGCTTTCCCTTCATGCATCAAAGTAAGATAAGCTGCTAGATTCCTCCAGGAGTGCCAAAAATAAAGATTTAAAGCTGAGTTCTGCATAGAAGTGATGTATTTTGGACAGTACTGCTGCAGCGGAAAGTGAGGGAGGATGGGGAGACTTGTGTCATTTAATGCTTCTCCGGGAAAACACAAATCCAGGGCAAGAGTATAGATTATAGCCTAGCCTCCTGTGGTCTTCAAGTACCATACAAGTTGGTCACCAGCAAAGTGTCCAGAGCTGGTTGTTTCCATTACCCTACCAACCCTACCAGCTGGAAACAACCAGCTCTGGACACTTTGCTGGTGACCAACTTGTATGGTACTTGAAGACCACAGGAGGCTAGTACTTGTACCACATCATTGCTGTCTGGTACAGCTGGGTCGACTGTGACCCTCAATATACCGCATTTTTCGCTCTATAGGATACACTTTTCCCCCTCCAAAAATTAAGGGGAAATGTGTGTGCATCCTATGGAGCGAACGCAGGCTCCTTGGCTTCAGCGATAGCAACGCGAAACCTCCGAAGCGCAGAGGGAGCGCTTCGGAGGCTTCGCGTTGCTTTCGCTGAAGCCTGGAGAGTAAGAGGGGTCGGTGCGCACCGACCCCTCTCACTCTCCAGGCTTCGGGGATGGCCGCCTGAAGCCTTTGGAGCACAGCGCAAGTTCCCGCTGCGCTCCGCAGGCTTCAGGTTCCTTTCGCTGAAACCGGGAGAGCAAGACTCTCCTGGCTTCAGCAGAGAGGGAGAGCTGCGCAGCGCCCCATCAGCCAAGCGGGAAGAGAAATGGAAGGGGCTCTGTTTCTCCTGCCGCTTCGCTGAAGGGGCGCTGAGCAGAGAGGGGGAGATTCCCCCCCCCCTTGTTCTCCCCTTAAACAAGGTGCGTCCTATGGTCGGGTGCATCCTATAGAGCGAAAAATACGGTAACTGCTGGACTCCTAACTCCAATCACCTCTGGCTGTTGGTTATGCTGGCTGGGACTGGTGGGAGTTGTAGTTCAACAACATCTAGAGGGTGTAGGTTCCTCAGCCCTTTGTGGGGCTTCCTCAGTGACCTAAAATGGTTCTAATTCCTCTATGAACTTTTTATTTGACATTTGTTAGCATACAGGACCATTCAGGTTTGGGGGAGTGAGCAGGGCAACACACATAATTTCCCTGCTTGTGTTAGCTCTTTTAAAAAGTGTGGAACATCATGATCAAGCTGATCGTGATGCAATAGCCCAATACGGAGGCACCTTTTCATGCAAACACACCATCTTTCTGTGAATCTTTCTGAGTCATAAACCTCACCACCAGCCATACGTGCTCCTGAGGCCTGTTGCCTAGAAGCTGGTGACTTTCTGAAGTGGAACCTGGTTTTGTAGCAAGAAAAGAAGGTTGAAAGGCAAATGCCAAGTGTGTTTGCTCCAAGATGCAGATCTAGAGCGGTGCTTTCTGCTGTTGCCCAGGCGCTTCCCTGCACACATTTTTGCAAACAGGGAAATTATAACATCAGAAACGGCTGATGTAGTTTGTACTCTCTTTCAGCCTCAGCCCTCTGCCGATCTATGCATTTGGTGTTTTGAATAAGAATAGCTTGCCTTCAACTGTGGCATTTCTGGTCATATTTTGAAACCATCATTTTCTACATCTCTCTCTCTCTGCTAATAAAAAAAAGTGGCATTTCTTTTCAGAGCAGCTGGCTTGTGGCTTAATATTCTATTCAACAGGTGGTTTCATGTATAATGCAACCATAGCTTTCTCAGTTCCAGCTAACTTTCTGTAGATACGATGAAAGCTCTTTCACCTTTCCCCAATGACTTCCCATTTCTGTCTCAATCAAGGGGGGTGGGCAAGAATAGGGAATAAGCCTTTCCTAGGTGCTTGCTGTCTCCCTACTGGGCAGAAGCTAACTAAATGTAAGTAAAATTCTACATGTGGTGGAATTCAGTGTTCCTATTCACTAGTTCTGGGTTAATCTATGTGCAGAATTTTGTTGGGAAACAGCATGCAGAACACAAAAACTTGGATTGTTACATCAGATCAAAATCCATTTACTTCAAGGTTAGCTAACCTGTGGTCCTCCCAGATGTTGCTGGACTCCCAATTCCCATCAGCACTAGCCAGGACAGCCAGTGCTCAGGGGTGATGGGGGTCCAGCAACATGTGGAGGGCCACATGTTCCACTATTTCTGCATGGCTTAATAAGCACTTTCACAGTTGTCCTCCACGAACCTGTCTAAGAATCCTTTACAAATGCTTTCTAAGCCTGCGACTATCACAACCTCATCTTATACTTGCAAATTCCATAAATTATGCTTAGTGTGTCGAGAAAGTACCTTTTCCTCTTGTTGATACTGAACCCTATTGCCAATCAGCTTTGTTAAATGATCTCAAATTCCAAATATTACAAAACGGGAGAGAAGTTTTCATCTTTTCTACATCAGGTATGGGGAACCTATGGCCCTCTGGAAGTTCCTGGGCTCCCAAAGCCCATCAACCCTGCTAGATTCCCCTTCCCTGTTCTACACAGTTCATGCACACCTATTTTTAACCCTCACAGTCTTTCTTAGCATAGATGAAGTAGCCTAGAGAAGATGAGCAGCAGCATGCCTTTGGACTGTAGGACAGCTGAGGATCTGGCCTACTGGTCAGATCTTGTTTCCCACCCATCCTTTCCCTGCAGCACAGTTCATAAATGAAAGACAAGTGACACTTGGGGTGTGTGAAAACAAGGCAGTGCTTGCTTTATTGCAATGACATTAATTCTGCATAGAAACCACACAGAAGCTTGTGGTAAACCTCATCTAGCCAAATACAACATTGCCTCTTGTTTCGCAAGAAAATGTATTCATTTCCCTAATCTAAACCCAGCACCCTCTATATTTAAATACTTCAATTAAGCACTTCACAAGATCAACCAACAATGGCACCCTATTAGGACCCAAGGTTCCATAAAAATGACAACTTGGGTGTTTCCGAGGTGGCAGCTTTCATTCTCCCCGTATTGTGCCTCAGCAAGGAGGGCTTTTGCATTCACCCAGATAATTTTTTAAAAAATCTATTCTTAATTTTAAATTTTGTGTTTGTAAACTTTTATGCTGTAGCCCTTTATAGACTTGAGTTGTTTGATTTTAGAGGAAAGACATGCTTTTGTCCCCTGCTGTTCATTGTGAAGGCCTTTGGCTACATATAGTAGTAGTAGTAGTAGTAGTAGTAGTAGTAGTAGTAGTAGTAGTAGAAATAAATAAATAAATAATTTATACCCCGCCCTCCCCAGCCAAGACTGGGTTCAGGGCGGCTAACAACCAATCAAACTGATTCTAAGCCAAAGGCCAGGCAGAACAACTCAGAAATCAGATCCTGCAGGGCCCTGGTCTCATGAGACAGAGCGTTCCACCAGGCCGGAACCAGTGTTGAAAAGGCCCTGGCTCTGGTTGAGGTTAATCTAACTTCCTTAGGGCCCAGGACCTCTAGGGTGTTGCTATTTATGGACCTTAAGGTCCTCTGTGGGGCATACCAGGAGAGACGGTCCTGTAGGTACAAGCGTCCTAGGCCTTGAAGGGCTTTAACA